AATAAATCTAGTAAAAAAAAAAACCTGCAAGTTGCTCTTTAACCTACAAGATTTGACCCATAGACTTCCATTATAACCACATTTTTGTATCCCCTCCCCCCCTTTAAATTCAAGTGAAAAAAAGATTTTGCACTAATTGTCCTCTGCATTTGACCTTAAATGTTAGTGGTGCCATGGCAGCCCGGGGACCGACTCTAATTCTGAGGTGACTTGGTCAAGAGCAATGAAAGGAGTATCTGAACATCCATAACATGCATGTTGTTTTAGGAGTATAATAATTATCTTTATGCTGGTTAGTCTCCCACCCTCTGCGGGTTATCAGCACAAATTATGTCCCCATATGATAAAAATCCACCATCCCCCCTGATTTTCTTTTTACAACTTGAGTACTGGTTATGGTAAAGAAACAATGTCCAGCTTGCTTGTCAGTGTAAAAGAAAACAACTGTAACTAAGCTGTCATTACAAACTCGTAAATCAACCCTTCACCCTCCCACAAGCTGATAGAGACACAGATGTCACCCACCTTGCCGAGGAAAGCCATAGCGTGTGTATTCCCTGCATTTGCAGCCTGTGTGAAGTAGTCGTACGCCCTCTGTTGGAGAGGAGGCATCAAAAATACATTAAACGGTGTAAAAACAACAACGACAAATAAATCATGTTTTTATTATTTTATGTACCTGATGATTCTGTTCTACTCCGCGTCCTCCATGCAGGTGTAGCTGACCTAACCCCACCTATCAGGGGACACAAAGAACTTGGTTAACTTGTAAGTGAAACACGATTAGTTACATAGATGGGAAAATCCCATTTCAGATTGACCATTAACATTCACACAATGACGCCTTGTTTTTTCCAATTAAATATGTAATATGGGTTTCAAATGCAGGTCAAATATGTATATCTTTCTGACCAAATGTTAACTTTCTTCATGACCAATATCAACTGTTGCCCAGCTTCCTTACCATGAGATCAATTCACTGTGAGAAGACACTGAGACCAGGTCAAAGTTAGAATTGAAATATACAAAATACAAGGCTACACAATGAGGCTCCGCATTGCACGTAGTTATATTTCTTTATCTGAAGTTCTAGAAATAGCTTCAGATGTATTGATCTTTTCTTCTCAACAACTAACCCCGATACCACCACTACATTTGATTCAGATCCCTGCATTGCATTGAACAAACACTCATTGGTGATACGATAGTTTACCTGAGCCTGCACGTCTCCTTTCTCAGCTAGAAACTGATAGTACTGGATCAGGTCCTCCTCCAACATCCCGCTGGTGGACCCCGGGTTCTCCACCTCATCCAGCAGCCGGATCCTCTGCACCGCCGAGCCCCCCGTCAGAGACACGTCACTGGCCACTGGAGGCGGGGAGGGGGAGAAGAGGAGGCAGGTGGAATAGAAGGAGTGATGAGCCCAGGAAGAGACGTCACACCTGAACATCTTATTATATAATTGGAATAGATGCTCACCTTGATTTGCCACCAGCCTGTAGTGTGTCAGTGCTGACTCACAGCTCTGGGGAACACCCACACCTCCCCAGTATCTGTATCCCTGAGGACAAGATAAAAGGAATGTCATTTTACCATACTTAGGAAATAACGACTGAGTCCTTGCTCCACTTAGAAAATAAACTCACCAGGATCATATGGGCTACCAAGTTTCCACCCAGAGCGCCGAAAGTGTAGTAAACCAGGGCCTGGCACACAGAGAATGTAGGACATATGTGAATAACTGTTAGAAATTGAGCAATTTTATTACATTATTTTACAGTTTTGTCCAAAGTAGACAGATCAGTTATACAGATTCTAAAGTACCTTAGCCTGACTGGAATTAACTCCAAGTCCTGCTGCGTAGAGAAAGCCAAGAGCCTGTGGAAAGGTAAACAGAGCACCATGTTACACAGCTGACTGAGGGCATTTGATAAGATGTCAGGTCAAAATGGCTTGCGATATCTTTTCCAAGTGACACCTTAACATGTTCATACGAGATCTTTACCGTCTGGGCTTTAGGCGAGCCTTCTATGGCGAGCTTCTCAAACATTTCTCTGGCCATGGTGACGTTTTGGCTCATGTAGTCTCCAAACAACATGGCGTACGCCACCTTCTCCATGGCTTTCTGGTGGCCTTTATCCGCTATCTTCAGCAGCTTCTCGTACAATCTGAGAGGGCGGATGTAGAAGCAGAGGTGGCGTGAGTAAAGGCAGATTGACACAGGCATAATACAAATCGTGTGTACATGAACAGAACCATGATGAGATCTTAAGCAAACAAGGATGTGCCGGGCTAAGTCTCGTGCTACTAAAGCACACATAAAACAGGTATGGCCTAAACTACTCCTATAGTGTCGTTTTAACTTGAATTATTTCATAACACCATTTATTATACACATATCCAAATGTTTGTAGAGAATATTCAAAAGCTTGACAAAAGAAATAGAAACTCACTCTTTCTTCTGGGTCCTCCTGGTGGTGGCGTTGAGCATGCGCAGCACCGTCAGGTACTGCTCATCCGTCTCCTCCACCTGCAGTCGCTGCTGCGCCTCCTCCTCCGCTGAGGGAACAAGAGAAGCCAATGAAGAATGCAGATTACAAATAAATACGTTTTTAAATCTTTGGTAGTGAAGAGGGCAATAGTCATTCGGAAAATGAAACCAAAGAAGGTGTTGAGCTTCTTAAAGGCTTTTCATTTGATGAGGAAATAAATATTAGTAAACAGTTCTATTTATTTTCATTGGGACTTCAAAATACCGGCTATCATTTAGGATATAGCAGCTAATGTTAACTTACTCTCACAGAATCCCCACTTCTTCTCATAGTCATAGTGGTACTTGGTGGCGCACCACAGCCGCCCATCCCCCCGTCCGTCAGTGGTACAGTCCGAGTACTCCTTGTCCATGAAGCGGAAGGGGAAGATGCAGGGCTCTCCATGGGCTGTACCACCATTCACCACAGGAACTGTATGAACAAAATATAAAATGATATATAAGAAAAAGAGAAAATAACTGGATGTTTTATGAAAACATGTAAACTTTTATTAAAAATATAACCCTGTGGGGTACGTTGGAAATATTATAAATGATTGTTTTAACCAGGAATGCATGTCACATCTCAAATATTGTTGTTGGCCTAGGAATCTCTGTACTGTATAAATCATTAACAAATAATTCAAGGTACCGGTAACTGCTTTTTTGGGCATAAAAAGACCATTAGCAAGAGGTGGGTAGCTGGGTATAACTTTAACAAGCTTTCTTTTCTCAACATAAAAATATTGTTATAACAAAACCACCCATTTCTCTGGATAAAGGCTTTGGATTGCAGGGTTTGCCCTTCCCTCCTGCCCCATCTGGCATATACAAATGTTTATGGCAGATATACATGGTTTGTGCGACAGACACTGGAAGTGTGAGAGGATTTAGACAGTATAACAAGAATGAAACAAGAGGGAAATCCCCCAATGCAAATTGTCCTGTGTTTTTAGAAACATACTATAATAATAATATAATCAAGATACTCAAATAGACTATGCTGTGATATACAATAAAATGCTCTGTATACAGTATACACCTTTTGTCCCCCTCCTCCTGTGTGTGTGTTTTATTTTGTTTGAAATAGTTTGTATTGAGTGTAAATAAAACTATAATTGTAAAAAGACACAAATAATGTGTTACCATGTCTGCTCTGCTTATTTTAATTCCATGAAACAATAATTGGAGATGAATGGATTCAAACAAAGTCTGTTAATGCTAATAACTGCCCATCTTACAAGCTCATTCGTTTATGTGTATGAGATGCTAGCAGGAAGCTGACAAACAATCCCCAGGTAAAATGATGTAACTGTCTGCAAGAGGAGCCACAGGTGCGAGGCGCTGTTAATTTCTCAGGGGGTTTAACCACACACACACACACACACACACACACACACACACACACACACACACACACACACACACACACACACACACACACACACACACACACACACACACACACACACACACACACACACACACACACACACACACACACACACACACACACACACACACACACACACACACACACACACACACACACACACACACACACACACGTCTCAAAGCTGCTCCACTATTCCATCTGTCCCTTGCTTTAATTGGACAGGCAAAAACCACTCCACTCAAAAGCCGGTGAGCTAACAGTGACAGAAGAAATGCCAGCTCATGTCTCACACAGACATTTCAAAAGCCAAGAAAAACATACCATCGCCAGGAACAAGAGCATGTGTTTGGTAGTTAAAATACAGAGGTTCAGATTCAGTTCATAACATTCAGGGTAGCACGTTTAAAAAACAAAACAACTTATTGTCATTATATTGACCTATTGCAATATGAAACACGATTTTGGGGCTATTAAACGTTTTGCATCATTATTATCAATGACATTTATAAAATATATATTAAATGATTATGGTCTGTAGAATATAGTTTATATTTAGCCTTTAACAAATATTGTACTTCCTGCAATCTGAATATTGCACTTTTATTTTGATAAAAAATCCATTAGTTGTGCAGCCCTACAACAAATTGCACTCAACATTAAGCCATGTTTAAGCATTCTGCGTACTTGGTTGAACTGAGTGCAAAGCTAACTAACTAAACCTCTGTAGCTGCACCTAATGAAGCATTTAGAGTTTATCGTTTAAGATACATGTTCAGTCCTTACTCTCTTTGGGTTTCTCCTCAACAGGAGGAGGCTGCTCAGGCAGGTCCTCCTTCTCCTCTCCCTCCAGTCCTTCCTCAGTTGACGGTTTCTCCTCTTCTGGCTGCGAGACTTCATGACGAGAGGTCACAGAGGCACCGGCCACAACATTCCCTGCCAGGCGGACGTCTTCCTCTTCAGCATCTGGGTCATGGTAAGACTGGAGAGATGCCCGAGATGTTATTATAAAGGAAACCGGAAATTCAGGTTGTGTACAGGTTCTGATACTGCAGTCGTGGATGGTTGTGTTACAAAACAATTGATGTACAGGTCATTTGCAAACTGAACATTTACTGAAAGTTATTTCTGGTAAACTTTAGCCAGTTAAATATGTATTGAATCGGCTTAAGTTGATATACTTGATGGAAACTCCTTCGAAATATTACAGGTAATATTTGCTTGCAACTGTAGAAATTAATCTGTACACACATTAATATGTTGTAATTGTATACAAAGCTAGCCCCCTTTTCCTCGTCCTTTAATGTACCAGGATATGCATGTAGCTATGATGGTTTTTTACACAAAAAATATCCCAAGGTCATCAGCTCTTAGTACAGCCTCAAGTGCTTCTCCTTTATATTGTTAACATATGTAAGTGACAGTTCTAAGACTTTTACATTATCAAGGGAAGATAATAATAGATTATGAAATAGGTTATGTGCAGATTTCAATCTTAAGGTTTTTTTGGATGCAGATTAAACAGTGAAAAATACCAGTTTTCTGATGCTTGAATGAAAAGACTCAAATAAGAATCATTTTTCAGCAATACAATGTGTTCACAACACAACAAGTTGTCGTTGTTTATCTTTTTCAATGAATTGTTTGTTTCAGATGCGTAATTGCCAGGTCATATTCACATAACCCTAACAAATGAGAAACAGATCACTGGATTTCAAAGCTGCTTAACAGAATCACACTCGAACAACATACAGATTAGGGCTGCACGATATATCGTGTCGTGACGATAATCGCGATATTCACATCGCAGGACGTGCAATTTTTTTTAATTATTATTATTTTTTATATACATATATTTTTTTTAGGACGTGCGATATTAAGTAGGCAAATTAACTGAAACACGTCATGTTACAATTATGTTGCTGCTTGCTACAAAAGGAAAACTCGCGCGGCTCATGTCAGGGATACTTGAGTGAGTGACATGCAGGCTCTGCATGTACAGCAAAATCACAATCAAATCTCCAAAGCAAACGGACCCGGTGATTAAAGGTAAAAACACTAAATAAAGTAGTTTCATGTGTTTCTCCAGGGCAGTTCTGCGGTGCTAACCGAGCTAGCTCAGCTTGTTGCTCTGATAACTTAAGATCCAGACGTCCGTGACTAAAATCTTTCATCTTGTTAAATATTGTTAAAAAAATACTAATTGTATAGATATCTGTTTTATAGTTCAACAAAGGATGGTTTGCTGAATGACTATTGAATATTGTGTTTGCTGTACATGCTAATGTAGCGACTTGTATCATATACGCGATATATCGCATAGGGGGGGGGGAAATCGCAATGTCAGTTTTTTCCAATATCGTGCAGCCCTAATACTGATGTACCTGTGTTTTGTTTTGTTTTGTACTGTGTTAATTGGTAATTATGTGATGTAAGAATATATTGTGTCTTATCTCGAATGTTTCGAAGAGTTGGAGACACAGGTATATATTTAAATGCAATTGTACCAAAGTGTGATTAGTAGAAGTACTCTGGAAATGTTCTCAAACATTTAGTTAACACCTAAGTTAAGTATATTTAAAATATATATTTAGGTAGTAGTTCGGATAGTCTTGAATCAATCCATTGCTGTAGTCTAAACATCTCTCAGTATCAACATAACGTTTGCAATTATATCAACAGTTGTTTGCATCATATACAACAGAAATATATTTATTGATCCCAAGGGTTTGATATGAGGATCATTATAAAATAGCTCATGACATACCTTTAGTTCTGGCCCGTCGTTCCCCTGTTGCTCTTCATCTGAAAGGTATTAATAAGGGAGAGTAAACACAGTGTAAACTTGAGATGGATGAATCTGTTAGCTAAAAATAAACAGCAGCTTGAAAACAGTTGAAGAACCGTAGACACTTCTGTCTGCGCACATATTAAACAGTTGAATGTCACACTTACCAGCTGTTATTCCTTTGACGAAGACTATCAGCAGAATGGTGAACAAATAAAAGGTTCTTGCCGTCTTAAAATACCTTCTATAGCCCATTGTTGTTGATGTCGACAAGCTAACGCTCTGCTAGCTGTAGCTGCTGCTACTTCTATCGCCAAACATTCAGTTACAGTTGGGTCACACTATAATATTCAGCTTAAATAAACTCTCCGACGCTCAACAAAACGGAACCGTGTTGTCTTGATATAAACCTTGGTTGACTTTAGCTCCTGTGGCTGTCAAACAAGCTAACAGATTTCGATGCAACCTGCGCTAGCAGAGTAGTAACTGACGTTAGCTAGCTAACACGCTAGTCTTACATAGCCACACGAAAGACCAATCAAACAGCGCAATATTATGAATGAGACGCAACTCCTTAGTGTAATAAATGGTTGCCTACTACCTCTCGGTACTCTCAATCATCCAAGTTTTACAGCGACATGCAAGGCTTTTGATTTATATTAGCCAGATACTACTTAGCTACCCATGTTAAGCTCCTACTACTGATCGAGACTTCCTATTCCCTCATTTGGACCAATCACAGCGCGTTCCGTTTGACAGTAGCCAATGAGCGGGCACCTACGCTGTATCAGCGAATCAGGTGCGTACACAATTTTGTTTCCAGTTGATGGGTTTGTCCGGTTTGTACGGTTTGTCCACGACACCAATACAGGTTAAGAAGATAATCATAAGTGCATACACTGAACAGTGAATCCGAAATGTAAAGCATGTGTATTATTTTGTTGCAGAAAGGCAATTTTGAAAAAGGACCTGAATTGTTTATTTCCAAGTGTCATTTGGTTTGTGTGTTGTTTCGAGTCAACAAAATGAGACAAGTACCGTAACAAGTGGGTTAGCAATCGTAAAAAAACTGATAGGTAAAATTGAATCCCTAAACTAATTGTGATATATTACTATATTACATTTAAGCTGTAGGATTGCTCTCCTCAAACCACCGTATGAGTAGGGTCATGCCTATGTTTATCCACCTCAAGCATGAGAATAACATCAGACTAGGGCCATTAATTCTCACAGGAAATTAGCATGGCTCTCTACTGGTGGACAAAGGGAAGTTAATGTAAGGAGGTATGCACATTTAACAGGGGAAATAATTTAGTTGAATATGAAACGCAGAAATGTGTTAAATTGAAACACGAAAAAATACATTCAAAGTATTTTTGCACACATAAAAACAAGCAGATGTGTTAATGAATAACTACATGTTTATTTACAGGCTGCTTTAGTGGTCATTCCAGAGGCAGTAATAAGACATTATTATTTGAATAACATTCACAGTAAACAAGATAATACAAGGCAGGGAGATGACACATTATTTGTACCCCACAGCTTTCCACAAGAGAAATACAAGTCATGTTTGACTTTATGGTGCAGATATGATCCTCCAGAGGCGGTGAGAAACCACACAGAATAGGGTTGAATTTATATTGAAAGCCAAGAGAAGCACAGCTATGTGCCAAAAAGATAAAACGGAGAGATTTTCTATTCCTGTATTAATACAACCGTTTTCAGTGTAGAGTATAGAGCAAAAACATGAAACAACTTAAGACAGGAAATGTAGTGTTCTTGAACTGTTCATCTGAAAGTGTATAATTAAAGAAGGCCATTTATACAGTCGGCTATTCATTCCTTTAAAATTATCAAGTCTTTGGGACAAAACTTGAAAGGCAATTGACGAATTTCATGCAAGCAAACACAGAAGCTATCATACATACATACAAATGTGTTTTTTCACATTTGTACACTGGCAAGTAGCAGTTTTGGATGATGTCTCACACATTAACACACTCAAACATCAACGTTTCAAAAGTTGTAATGTACACCAATGTTATGTACCAAAAAAAAGGTGATGTCGTCAATGCGTGTCCTGGTTAACCGTCAGAAACAACATAATTCTGAAAGGTTTTGGAGTCACTGTTGGGCCTCCTCCCTCACTTCTAACTTACAGTACAGTAGTATTTCATCACTTTTCCACTCGGTGACGATCCCATCCAGCTTATGACCCTTTAATATACACACATTCACTTTAATGTTCATCCCAACTAGTTACAGTGAAGTGCTTGGATATATTCACATTCAATTATGTGACCACACATTCAAATGTCAGGGCTTTAATATAAATAAATTAAAAGCCAATGTTATAAAATTAGTTATTCATAAAAAACATGTCATTATGTTACGTAATTGAATGACGATTCAATACATTTTAAATATTTTTTTATTGTCCCAATCTATATTATTCCAGTATATTACTGCAGGCACAACAAAGTGATTAGTGGCAATAAATCACAGTATAAAACTGCAATACTCACGAATATCACATAATATTAGGAATCAAAATGGTGTGGCCCAAGTGCTGGGACAACCTGGGTGAAATGATGTATTTCCACCAAAAAGAAAAATAGTGGCTTTCAGGCCTCCATAGATGAAATGTATTAAAAAACAAGTGGTTTTCTTTAACCTGGACCACTCTCTGCTACTGTAGGCTTATGGTACCTGAATCCAAAAATGCCAACATGTAGCATAAGGCAGCGAGGAGACAACTGGAAAAGTCTGATATTCTAAATCGAAGCACATCATTTCCTTTGTCTTGTCTGAATATGTGGTCAACAAGCATTTCAACATTTACATTGGACTACTCATTGCTCTACTCAAACCAATAAGATGAAAGCATGCAACCACTTGCGTTTAAAAAATGAACACGTTGCTACATGCAAATGTTCTAAGTAGTCTCGAAACCAGCAGAAACCACAGAGAACCAGGTGGTGTCTCCTCTAAAAAAGGACCCAGTGGTGAACATTTGGTGCAGTCCATTCTCCAGCAGGGCATGATGGTAAGAGTTATCTGTGCACAGCTCTGATGACCCATTCTGCAGTAGGGTTCAACTCGAAGAGGTCTTTCATGTATGTTTCTCCATCCAGACATCTCTCCTCTGAGGGGACAACAGACAGAGAGGAGGGGGGGGCAGAGGTGACGTGCAACAACATTAACATTAACCTTTCTGTTGGTCGCTTGTTAGCAGACCCTTCACGCGATGGCAGAGCGAACAGGTACAGGCAGGGCCCATCGTGATAGCCCTATAGTTTAAATCTACTACCCACAAATAAACATATGGACATGGTTTACTATTTTTTTTAAAATTGTAAATGTATTTAGGAACCTATCAATGTGATTTTAAGTTGGGGTGGACCTCAAATCCTCTAGGGGGGGCCGGGGGCATGCTCCCCCGGTGAGATTTAAAAAAAAAATGTTTTAATTAAATGCATCAATCTGGTGCACTTTGAGGGGACTAGATCTATGGAACAGAACTGTATACATTTCAATAATCATCAAATCATGGCCATAACCGATAACATCCCACTTCCAATATGAAAAACACTGAAACTTGTTTATTTCTTTATTTTTGGTTCATTTATAGTTGTGAGTGTGTCTGTGCTCCTGAATCAGCCTCTCCTGTCTCGCTCCTCTCGCCCCTGCTCCTCTTTGAGGCAGCAGCAAAGGCTAGTTTTAGCTCTCAACAAGTTTTAAAAGTGTATATTACCTTTTTTTCACCTAGTTAACTTTTTATTTATTATTCATGCATATTTTACTAATCACTACCCCCTCAAATGGAAATATGTGTTTACATAAATGGTGACCAAACCGTTTGAGACCCACAGAGAACTTAGACTAAGTTAACTATCTAAACCAAGGGTGGCAAACTCATTTCAGTTAAGGGGCCACATACTGCCCACTTTGATCTAAAGTGGGCCGGACCAGTAACATCATAGCATAATAACCCACAGGCCCTACATAACGACAATATTTCTGTTTAAGTGCAAATAAGTAGCTACAAGTACATTCGGAAAATGTCCACATGTAATGAGACGCAAAACGTTATGAACAAACTGAAATGTNCAGTTCGAGCCTATTGGAGTCGAGTCCTCTCCATTTCCTAAGAGACTCACAAATCTAGTCCCTACCGTTTGTATGCCGGGCGCCCGGCCTAGGCCAGGGCCCTTCGTAAAGTCCGAAACCCGGTAGACCAATCAAGGGCTTTGATTTATGATCTGTATGACAGTGGCCATGTCGGCAGGCCACATCATGTAGACAGCCAGTCACCCTGTGTGAGGCAGGCCACTTAACAGGCCAGGCCATCGGGAAACCCCCCGGTCCTCCCGATGGCCAGTCCGGGACTGGGTACAGGAGGCGCAGAGCGAGGGATGATTGTCCCCAAGTTAATCCATCGCAGATGGCGTTGTGGTCGCGGACGAAAAAAGAAAAACAAATATACCTGGGCGGCCCGTGCAAGTAAAGTGTATGTGTGGGAAACCCTGCATACCGTTACACTCATAACAGGAAGTACGTTTTTCCTCAATAAGGCCTGCCTCGTGTCTCACTAGCAAGGTTATTAGCAGAGAAAACTAAGGATTCACATTGTAATATATTTGTTTGTAGCAGGAGCAAGACTTACTGATGTTTCCACCAATCTCATAGAGACACAGCTCTTCTTGTTCCACTGCCACTGAACTGCAGGGAAGAAGAAAGAAAAAGCAAGTAAGAGAAAGAGCTAAAAGGTAGAACAGGCATTTTTTTAGGGGTGGTGTTGAAAAAATTCCCTTACTGTATATTCTTTAGCCATTTTTTTATTTAAGTGATCGAAAAAGGGAAACCAACCTGCCAGAATTTGAAAAAATACAGTCCCCCACAATGTTGCGAATAGTTTAAACTGATGCTACTGTAGCTACTGCCGATTGCGTTAAGCAACTGAAAGGCTAAACTTATAGCAACAGTCATTTTCTGTATTTGTAAGTCTTTGTTGATATTGTCAGACTCTTTTTTTATTTTAGTCAGTCTTACTTTTTAGTGAGCAAACAAAAGGATCTCTCTTAAGTGAGCTGTGATTGGCCAAAGTCTACCTTTTTTAAAAGAGGATTCTATACATCTCTCAGACCAATACAATTCCAATATGCTCAAATCAAAGGTTATTATACTGCCTACCCCAGATTTAAGGCAACATGAAGAGAGGTCAGGCCTCATATTGATAAGATAAAGTACTGTGTGTGTTGGTACAGTGCTGCATGTAGACATTACCTGTCCTGGCTGAGGAAGCGTGTTAAAACATCAGCAGCCTGCAACTCTCCAGTAAGCTGAACTGCCATGGACACTTTACTGAACTGTGGAGCTTGAACTCGAATAAATCCCTGTGAGCTCTCCTGGTTGGAAATACCGACGGATATAAAGAGAGAGGGAGAAAGATTAACATACAGTCCATTATGTTGTCATAAACACTTTAAAAAAGGAAACATTGTACTCATCTCACACACACACACACACACGAGGCCGGGGCTTCACTTCACTGCAAGAATGAGGAACTAGGATACATTCCTGCTCTGCTGTTTAACAAACTGCAGACTCTGTTTGGTCTAAAAGCACTTAGCTGAGAATGACAAGTGTTGCCGTGGTTACTCACTATCCACTATATTGTTAAGGAGAACAGCAATTGTATTAATTG